ATTTTTATTTCATTTTTGTTTGTCAATTAAACTGTTATTTATTTAAATGCCACCAAAATACAATTATTGCTTTGTTTTTTTATACATCAAATGTTGGACCATACAACAGAAAACAATCTTCTTTTTTCCTTAATTTCTTCCTACTCATATGAAGATTTAAACTCGAAAATTCTAATATAAAATCTCAAATTGTTAAGCATTGAGAAACCTCTTTTTTTCTTAATCCATCCTTGTTTGTTTTAAGGTATAAACTCAAAAATTCTAATATAAAATCTCAAATTGTTAACCACTTACAAACCTCTTGGAGGCACTAGTGCTTTCTTTATTGGTTTTTATTCTTGCCGACAACTTACTAATTCATTTGGCGGTGCACCAAATCAGGGGACAGACTAACCCAAACTTCTTCAAAAGCACATGACATATTTTGTGAATGAATTAAGTTGTACATCAACTTTTAGTTTCAAAATTGTGTAATTTTCTCTTCCTCCACTAATGATAACTTTAATGTATTTAAATATTCTATGAATGAATTTTTCTTTTGGCCTTACTTTTCATTTGAAAAATTGGAAAACAAAAAATTTGTCCAACATTTATGTATTTCTTATTCAATTCTCAATTACTAAAATGGTTTTTAGGTTACAATCTCTTGACTTAATTAAATTTGCTTATCACTTGCAGCATTAACTGCGATGGAAGTGCACCAATAATTTAGGTATTTTGTCAAAAATTCAAACTGTAATTATAGTATTATTGTAATTATTCTTTAATTCCCTAATTTCTCATCGTTAAGAAAAAAAAAAAAAACTGCTTAGCTTTGGAGAAAAAAATTACTACTTGACTGATTTTTCATATTTCAAAATATATTTTACAAAATAATTCTTCGTCAGCTATCCATCCATAAAAGATGGACATTTCTAATTTTTAAACATATATATATATAACTCCCAAAATTAGAAACTGTTCAAAATAATAATAATAATAAGTAACTAATGGTATTTTCCTGCGTAACCTAACAAAACTACTTAGAAAATGTGGAATATTTACTATTTCCTCCTCAAAACGGGTCGGTTAAGCAAATAAACAAAGTTAGGTGGGGTCCCGGAATCCAAATCCGACGGCTGAGAAAGGCACAAAGGGTGAATTCCGACCATCAATCAGAAAGTAGAGTACGTGGCAGTCATCAAGAGCACAACAACCAAACACGAAGAGTAACATTACCATAACCAAATACCGAGAACCCCTAAAACCAAAAAGCAACCCCAGTGCTAGGTCCTCCACAAAAGTGGAGGAGGAACGGCAAAACCGGTAATAAAATGAAATCCGAGGGCAACTTCCGGACCTCAAGCATATTTAAATAATACCGACGCGGAGTAAAAAGATTATGTTAAATTAACCCATTAAAAATCTCCCCCTGCCCTTTCCCACTGTTCTCCTAAATCCAAACATACCATATAACAGTTTTGCAGGTTTCCTGTTATGAAGTATAACAGACTTGCCAGCCTCAAAGCATTTAAGATTGCAGCACAAGCAGAGAAGGATTGTTTTTAAGATAGTAAGTTGATCCGAAT